AGGTAATTATAGATTTTCAGGTCTGTGATAAACCTATTCTCCAGTTCTTGATGAGACACAGAATGGAAAAACAAAACAGATTCACACTGAGGAAAATTCAGAGAATCAAAGACCAAGTAATGCTCTGCTTTGTACATAAAAAAAAAAAGTAGATTTTTTTTTTTTCCCCCCCTAGTTAAACAGCAAGGTGAATAGTGCCTATAACTTTTCTGGAATTAAATTTTCATTTACAAACAAGGATACAAGTCCCTTCTACTATAGTGTGAAAGTCTTAATAGTTTGAGGACAGATATCATATAAACATAAAATCACAGAATAGTTTGGTTTGGTAGGGACCTTAAAGACCATCTAGTTCCAACTCCCCTGCCATAGGCAGGAATACTTTCCAATAGACCAGGTTGATCAAAACCCTATCCAACTTGGCCTTGAACACTGCAAGGAATGGGGCATCCACAACTTCTCTGGACAACCTGCCTTACCACCCTCATGGAACAGGATTACTTCCTCATCTAAACCTACTCTCTTTCAGTTTGAATCCATTCCTCCTTGTCCTGTCACTACATGCCTTTTGAAAAAGTCCCTCTCCAGCCTTTAGGTACTAGAAGGTGTTATGAGGTCACCCTGGAGCCTTCTCTTCTCCAGACTGAACAACCCCAACTCTTTCAGTACCAGAGAGATCATCTTCATGGCCCTTCCTCTGGACTCACTGCAGCAGATCCTTGTCCTTCCTATGCTGGAAACCACAGAGCTGAGCACAGTACCCCAGGTGGCGTCTTGACAAAGGAGAGCAGAGAGGAAAATCATGTCCCTCAACCTAATGGTCATATCACATCACCTGAAACATCAGTGACAGCTCTTCTCAAGAGTTAATTCCTTCAGGATTTCATTTCATGTGCATCCACTAGGAAATGTGGTAAGACAAGTGTGTTTGGCTAAGAATTTTTTAACTGAATTATAGTAGGGCCAAGAAGAGCTCATGGGGATGAACTTCTGAGGATTTCAGCCTCTCTAGGTGTAAGAGTCAAATAATATCACTGGTGTTCTCTGGAAACCATTTTGAGATAAAAGCAACCTAATAGCACTGTAGGAGAAAACCAAGTTTGGAATCAGGAAGTGCCATACTCAGCTGGATACTCCATCAATATAAATATCTATTGGCTGCTAGGAAGCTGTTTTAAAATAAATGGAAATAACATGGTTTTGTGGTAGTTTAAGGGGGGAAAAAACAAACCCTCCTTTTTACTAAAGAGCCTTACTCTTTATATGAGCCTAGGGGATTTCTACAGCTTTCAGCATCACAGCATCTGAATGAAGGATTTATGTTTATAGTCATAAGCACAAAGAGCCCCACAACTGCCACTCTGCTTCACACTCAGGACTTCACAGAAGAGAGTTCTAAAGCCCACTGGAAATGACTATACTCATTTCAGCTATTTCAGTGCCTTCAAATCAGACCAATGCCTCAAGCACAGGCTACTTGAGCCAAAGTGAATTCTTCTTTTGCCACACCATTGTTTGATTCTCACATTGAACTGGCAGTGCTTGAGGCCTTACACAATGCTACAGATAAAAAAGTCTGTATGTAGGTCTGGTGTAGCATCATTGTCGCAATAAATGGCTGGTAGATGCTGATGGTCCCAACAAGCATGGGCAGAGAAAGGATTAATGACCTGCATGAAAGCACCTGAAGTAATAATATGCCTCCAGCCACACAGGCATCTGCCTTTCAGCCCATTAGAAGTAGTCACAGCAGAAGTGCTGAGTACTAAATAGACATAGAGACTGAAACGTCAGACTTAAGCTATATTCATTAGCAGTCATTTCTGTGGAATTTCGGAGTATTTTGGACACCGGGTATAAAAAATACAGCATATTTTTTGCACATGCAAAACTTATAGATTTTTAAGTGCAAAAATACCAGTGATGATATTTACACTGCAGGAAAAAGCTATGTTGTTTTCCACAGCTAGCAAAGTGGATATATCCCACGAATATCAACCAAAATTCCAGATTTAAGGAGGATTTGGGCCATTTCATGCATGACTGATACATGCAGGAGATCCACACACTCATGGATGGGTGTCTAAATCAGTCTGAACAATTGCAAATGAATCCTAGCAGAAAGGTATCCAAATACAGTGTAGAGTTTATTTGAATTTCATTATGCTGGAATATGCTGGTTGCCTGTCCCATCTCCAGCAGTTCCCACCTGCTTGCACTTATGAGATGTATCAACACCACTCTCTCACTTGCTTTGGCATATTTTATCAAATGACATTTCATCTGTGCTTTGCTTTCTCATTGTAGACCAAATTTTATTTTTACTAACAAAATGCTACTCACCTGACATCAGTGCAGTAACATCTGTGCAAGAGAAGACTGGCTGTGTTTATACTCACTCTGCTGCTGACTATTTAGACCTAGTAAAGGAACTTGGGAAAAGACTAGGCAGTCTATCAGCTATTAACCTACAGACTATTTCACACTTCATATGCCTTTTCTCTGCTATCAGAACTGTGTTGCTCAAAAACGCTTGTCAAATTTTAGTGACTTTTGCAGCTTGTGCTCACACTGCCTGCATTAGTTCACTGAGTATGGATTTCCAATACCTCTTTTACATTCTCATAGTTTTTACAATTAGACTTCTATCATCATCTGAAATAGCCAGATGCCAATTTAGCTCTGTCCTAATTGCTGCTAATGACTTATTGATGCAAGCAGTTGCTTTCCATCTTATATTGCCTTAGAGGTGTTTATATGCTCTTTAATGCAGTATCAGGAGAAATATTTCTTAAGAACTAGAGTCTGGTATAGTTTTGTTGATTCTACTTCTGTACAGGTTTAGTGAATATTAATCAAGATGGTGGAGGTCAGAATACTTAGAATTACCAAGGACAGGAATGTAAAGGTATGGAAGTACCTGAAAATGTACATAGTTGACTAATGAACGGTACTGAACAGTACTGGCAGTAAAAAATGCCCAGGCATCTAAGCTAAACTTAAATCAGTGACAATGATCTATGAAATGAAAATAGAAAGTGTCAGAGCACAAACAAGGTACATTGTAGGCTTTTAATTCTCTTTTGTCTGAATCATAAAAATGGGAATTGCTATCCCAAGAGACAACAAAATAAGGAAAAATTTTAAAACGGGAGAATTCAGAATCATAGTAATTGTATTTGTGCAGGCAGCACTTTTACTATCCAGCAAAAATTGATATTTCAGACGCCTTTCTATACTGTAAAGCAGCAACAGAAAGACTCTGAAGTACTTTTTTTTTAATGACCAGATAGGTCCATTCCCAAGTGTGTTTCAGCCCAGCTGCCTTGCGAGGCCTAATCAGCTGACCAGGAGGTGGAGCAGAGGTAGTTGTGGGAGATTTAAAATGTTCCAGGGAGTGCAGGTGATTTGGGGGATGCAAATGGGGGTGTGGCGTGGCAGTTTGTGTAGGCAGGGCACAACCACCCTCCTAGTTGTCTCTGGTGGGTTGTGAGGTAGGTGTGTGGCTGTGTGGGTTTTTTTTTTTTTTTACTTTTTTTTCTTTTTCCCCCACAACTCAGCTAGACCCAGAAGTGGTTTCCAAAGGAGTGAAAACCGTTGCTGCTGCTCTCAGGGGGAATGTGCTAACCCAGGCGGAACCCCCAGGAAGGACACAGCTGCTCATGTCACTGGCTGTACAGTGTCTGAGCCTGGTGTCAGTACCAGAGGACAGTGGGAGAGATGCACATATACAGTGTGAGCAGCTGAATGATTTGCTGTGCTTGTGGCAGAGCTCAAAGAAGAAGTGGAGAGGCTAAGAAATATTAGGCAGAGTGAAAGGGAAATAGACTGGTGGAGTCATACCCTTTTGACCATAAAAGAAGTCCAGCAGGAGATGATGAAGCCCTGCCCTCCTGCCATCAGGCAAATGGAGCAAACCAAGTGGATGGGTGGGGATGGAAACGGGTCCCTGATTGAAGAAGTAAAGGAATCCCCTCCTGACCCCCATCACCTCCCACGGTGCCCTTAAAGAAGAGGTATGAGGCCCTGGCCCCAGAGAGTCAGGCAGAGGGCAGGCAAGAAGAGGATCTGCCAGGAGGGTCTCTCAGTTGCACCCTGTCTACCAGATGGATTACAACCACAGCTATAAAGAAAAAAGGGTAGTTGTAGTAGGTGACTCTCTTGTGAGGGGAACCGAAGGCCTTATATGCTGACTGGACCCATCCCACAGGGATGCTGCCTTCCTGGAGCCCAGGTGAGTGATATTAGTAGGAGACTCCCTGAGCTAATTCAGCCTTCTGATTGTTATCCACCGCTGGCAGGCAGTCCAGGCTGGCAGTGATGACATTAAAGAAAGAAGCACCAGGCTAAAAAAGCACTGGATTGATTAGTTGATGGAACAGGAGCACAGGTGGTGTTCATCTCAGTTCCTGCAGAAGCGGAGATGAATAAGGAGTAGAAAAACTCATCAATAGGTGGCCAAAGGATTGGTGCCACTGGCGGAATTTTGATTTCTTTGACCATGGGGAAAATTCCATGGTACTTAGCCTCCCAAAATCAGATGGGCTTCATTTATCTAGCAACAGCAAAAGGACTCTCCAGCCCATAAGTTGGCAGGGCTGATCAGGAGGGCTCTAAACTAAGTTTGAAGGGGGAAGGGATTGAAACCAGGCTCTCCAGAGATGAACCTAAGGGTGGAAAGCCTGAGTTAAGAGTGAAATTAGCAGCCCAGCTGAAGTGCACGTGCACCAGTGCACACATTATGGGTAACAAACAGGAGGAGCTGGAAGCCATCATGCAGCAGGAAAGCTATGATGTAGTTGCCATCACAGAAACGTGGTGGGATGACTTGCATGACTGGAGTGCTGCCATGGATGGTTACAAGCCCTTCAGAAGGGATAGGCAAGGTAGGAGAGGTGGAGGGGTGGCTCTGTATGTTAGAGACTGTCTTGACTCTGTAGAACTTGAAGTCAGTAACGATAAGGTCGAGTGCCAGAATCAAGGGGAAGGACAACAAGGCTGACATCCTGGTGGGAATCTGTTACAGACCACCCAACCAGGATGATGAGGGTGATGAATTTTTCTACAAGCAGCTAGTGGATGTCCCAAAGTCGCCAGGCCTTGTTCTCATGGGTGACTTTAACATGCTAGATGTCTGCTGGGAACTCTTCACAGCAAAGAAGAGGCAGTCTAGGAGATCCTTAGAGTGTATAATTTCCTGCTCCAGCTGATAAATGAGCCTACCAGGGGTGGGGCCCTGTTCACAAACAGAGAGGGGCTGGTGGGAGATGTAGTGGTCAGAGGCCGTCTGGAGCACAGTGACCATGAAATAACAGAGTTTTCAATACTCAGGGACTCAAAGAGAGCCATCAATGAAATTTCTACCCTGGAATTCTGGAGGGCAGATTTTGGCCTACTCAGAAGACTGGTTCAGAGAGTGTCTTGGGAAACACCCCTTGAAAACAAAGGGGTCCAGGAGGGATGGACATGCTTCAAGAAGGAGCAGCCCATCCCAGTGTACTGAAAGGCAAGCTGGCGGGGAAGATGGCCAGCTTGGCTGAACAGGGAGACTTTGAAGGAAATTAGGGTAAAAAAGAGAGCTTACTGACTATGGAAAAAAGGGCTGGCTACTCATGAAGAGTTTAGCAATATAATTGGGGCATGTAGAAAGAAAATTAGACAAACAAAGGCACAATTTGTACTTAATCTAGCCACTTCTGTTAGGGATAACAAGAAGTGCTTCTACAAATACATCAATAGCAAAAAGAGGGGCAAGGAAAGAGAGCAATCAGACATTGGAATGGGCTGACCAGAGTAGTGGTAGATTCACTGTCCCTAGAGGTTTTTAAGATGAGACTGGATGTGGCCTTTAGTGCCATGGTCTAGTAACCATGGTAGTGTTGGATAAAGGGTTGGACTTGATGATCTTGGAGGTCTTTTTCAACGCGGTTGACTCTATGATTCTGTTCATAACAAGTAAGCAGGTCACTGCTAAATGTGCTACAATCATGTTACACAAGTAATGGTACACAAGTAATATATGCTCCATGCTTGTGATGTTGGAATTCAATATTAATAACAGCATTACAAATGAGACAAGCAATCTCACAACCACACGTGGCTCTTGTTGTACTGCACAGCTCCATTGATATTACAGATCTCTATCAGATCAGGCAAGAAACTAGGTCTGGAATGGCTAAATTCATTCCTATTCAGGTCACTGACTTCGATTTCTAAAAAGCTATTATCTTTCACAGAACTGAGTTTCTCAGTAGCAGCTCTACCTCAGTTTCCAGAGCTTCTCACTACATGCCCACAGTCTTGCTGCTGGTGCAGCTAACTGTGCAAGAGGTCCTGATTGCAGGATTATGTATTGGAAAGCTATGATTAGACTTCTGGAAGACTCAACACATTACCACAGAAAATCTCACTTAAGCTATCACAGGAAAAGTGAATACAGAAAGTGAAGCAAGAATCTGAGGCACTCAGACTAATGCTTGGTTGGTCATGTGTACCAGGGAACTTTCCAGGTTATTTTTCTGAACTGCAGAATAACATGTGATAATAATCTTGATAGATGCAAAAATGACAGGTTTGATAGGACACAGTTTTCTGCTCTTGAAAGGAAGACTGTATTTTCTTTTTCTGGGACTGTAATCCTTAGGAAGAAACTATAAAGTGATATTTCATGTTATTGGTATGGCATTGTCTTGTAAAACTCTTTCTAAAGAGTTAACTCTGTTTCTAAAGAACAGTGCTAAAAGTAGACATTAAACAAGTTGAGAATCAGTGAATGGTTAAGAAAATGGGGTTTTGACATGCATAGTTAGCACTTCTTTGGTCAGTTTTTCAAACTATTCCATTTTACACCTATTTGGATTAGTTTCTGGAATTCAACATTCTAAAAAACACATCTTTAATCCAATACTTTTATTTTAGCAAATTCTAGTTTAATTTTTAATTTCCGGGTGATTTTTTTTTTTAACTTTTCTATTTCATTAAATGTAAATTCTCATAACAGGTTGTTTTGTTGGGGGTTTTTTTCAAGTTATTTTTAGTGATTTGATGCTGGTTTAAACAAGGACAGTAGTGGCATCTATCAGAGACACACTGCCAATAAAATTTGGTGTATTTTTTCCAGCAGAGACTATAAAGAACATCTCTGGCTATAATGCTATCCAGAAACATGGTTGTAAGAGAGGTTCATATCTTCCTGTTTGCTCTCACCTTGAGATTTATTGTAATGGAAGTCAGTGTCATAAGAAAATTCAAGGTTGTTTCCCTCCCAGCACCTCAGTGCAAATTGCACTGAGCAGCAGGAGAGAATTGTTTTTAACAGTGTAAGAAACTGCAAGGTTAATTTTGGAAGCATTTCAAATATTCTACCATCCAGTATTGTCCCTTTCTGTCAAGCATATGGTAGATGTTCCTTATTGAAACAGAAGGGCACAATAAAGTTCAGATTACTTTTAATGCAGTGATTGGTGCTTAAGCCAATTGTGTTAATAAAGGAACAGGACAATTATGACAAAAACTGTCATTGTATCTGGACTACAGCTGCTCACTGATGTAAGTCTTCCATAGAAGAGGCACTGTTTAACCTCAGAAAGTGGAAGGTAAAAGGAGAAAGTTGCCCTTTCATAGTCACCTTTCTTCTAGACATGGCATTCACTGAAATGTTCAGAAAGAGACTTGTACCAGCCAGTATTTGTATGTGTTGCTGAGGCACTGACAAAGGCAATTTCCTCCTTTTCACATGTTCTGCCTTCCATTTCTGAATTCATTCTTTGTTACAACAAGCACTTTGTGAGTGGGTCTCAGTTTGGGATAAAGACACCTAAAATTAGATGTTTGCAAGTGTCTATAGGTGATCTTGGTGCCTCAACCACTGCTATAGTCAGTACCTTCAGTGAAGGTTATGCAGATCCAGCTGCCAACCTGGTGAGAGCTGAACCTCTCTACTGACTCTCTCTGTGCTCCTCGATCTAATAGTAATTAGGGTCCTATTCAATTAGTAAACATAGGTGTCCAGTGCCGTTTCAGATGACCTAGGAAATCTCCACAGCTGGCAGATATAGCCATGACCTTCAGGAGACCTGTGCTCTTCTAGACTTGCAGCTGAAGGCCAAATGAGTATCTCAACAAATTTACAAGGGCATCTTGAGAAGCACTAGGCGCCTATATTTAGGCACCTGAATCAAGACCTTACATTTAGATGCCTTAATTTAGATGTTTCAGTCTTGAGCTGAATGCACTGCATACAAAGGATTTTCTAATCTGAGTTACCTTTAATCACTGAAGATGTCTGCAAGAATCACATGTTCCTCAGAGAGAGGTAGGGACTCCTGTAGCACCAGATTATGGGGATGATCTTTATGGATAGTAAATCTTTCCATGTGTGG